TTTGAGAGTAGGAAAGTAGGAAAATCACCGCAAATAAAAGATAAAACTTGTAGGAAAGTAAACAAGAAAGAACACACCGGATTTAACGAGGTTCGGCAACATGCCCACGTCCTCGGAAGCCACATCACAAAATTCTTTGATTAATTGAAGAAGATTACAATGCCCACAAATAGATTTTTATCTCTCCGAGATCTCTCTGAAAGAATCCTCTCAAAACCCTCTTTTTCACGTGTTCTACAAACTCTAAAGCATATTAGGTATATATAGGATCCCAACCCAAAACAAAATCCTGAATAAAATAGGAAATTAGAAAAACAGTATCCGGTCAACCGGACCATGTGTGTCGGTCGACCGGCCAGAGCATCATCTTTACAGGATCTGCTTGTGCACCTTTTCGGTCGACCAACATAGTCCTCGCGGTCGACCGGCCAGAGAGCAGAGAGCAGTTTTCTGCTCAGTTTCCTGCAGTCATTACGGTCGACCAGACCTCCTCCGTCGGTTGACCGACCTGCATTTTTCCCATTCTCTTCGTTGATTTGATTCCAGGTTTGGTCTACACATTCGAGACTAACAGTTCATGCAAGCTACACTAGGCTCTAATCCATGATATGGATGGAGGAGTATCTTGGCGGGAAGAGACATTTTGAAAGACAGAATATGTTGGAAAATTGGAGTGGGTTTGTAGGTGGAATTTTGGAAAGATCCATGGATTCTCAAGCTTAATTAAAGGTTTCAGACCAATTTCCAAAGACCTAAATTTTCAACCAATTTTGGAAGTTGGAGATCTAATTGACCTAAAGAATATGAGTTGAAATGCCAGAAAGATTCACTCTTTAGTAGATGATCGATCAGTTGGTAGCTAGTATTCTTGACATCCCAATTAGTATGACATCTAGAGGAGACATATTGTTATGGATTTACTGTGCAAATGGTGAGTATTCTATCAAGTCAGGATATCGATCTGCTAATATGTTGGAACAAATGAATACTTCCTCAAGTTCGAAGCCGTCAAATGTGGAAGACATGGAGATGAGGAAACACTGATCATACAGTTTGGAAAATTATAACTCCTCCTAAGCTTAAACATATTTTACGGAAATGTATGTTTAATATCATTCCAGTTGGTGAAGCTTTGGAAAAGAGAGGTTTTAATGGCTTTAAGAAACGTTTTCTATGTGGGGAAGCTAATGAATCAACTGAGCATCTATTTTTTGAACGTAAGAGGACCAATCTAGTGTGGTTTGGTTCGAGCTTAGGGCTGAGAACAGGAACATGATATGGAGAGAGGGAAAAAAACAAAAACATTTGCTCAATATTTAGAACGATTTTTCTATAGAGTGCCTATGGGTACTCTATAAGGGAGGAGAGAGATAGAGAGAAATGAATTATGCACAGGAATTAATGCAAATTAGAGGGACCCATAGGCTATTCATTTCTCTCTATCTCTCTCCTCCCTTATAGAGTGCCCATGAGCATTCTATAGAAAAACCGTATTTAGAATTTACATTAAAACTATACAAGGATTGGACATAATGTGGAGTTTTTGCAAGCTTTGGTTTCTCATATCATTTGGCAACTTCGGAAAGGAAAGAGCAAAGTAATTTGGGAAAGTTGGAGGTTCGACCCAGTTGAAGTTATTAGAATTGTAAGAACTATATTCGTGCGAACAAATTGGAATGAGCGAGTAATTCGAAGGATCATGACATTAAAAGCTCAAATGAAGCGTGGACTTGTCCTCCAACCAGAAAATTGGAATTAAGGGGCTGTTTGGTTGGTTTCCTAAAAAATCAAGAAAAGGAAAATGGTACATGGAAATCAATAAAATACTATTTTCATCCATTTCCATCCCTAAAACTCACCACAATATCCAATAAAATATTATTTTTATCCCATAACTCATCTCATATTGTGTCCTAAAATAGACCAAACACAAGAAATATATCACATCATCCAACTCATCTCATCTCCATCACATCTCATTTTTAAAAATCACTCACATCTTCCAGAGCCGGTCCTTGGTTTTCTAAGGCCCAGGGCAAATTTTCTCAAGTGTGCCCCTTTATACAAATTAAACAAATAAATAAATAAATTATCAATTAATTAATTTTATTAAAATTATAAGATTTTACAAAAGACAAGGAAAAACACTTTGGAGCCTCATTAAAACCTTGGTTGGGGAAAACCTAATGGGACAAAACCCCAAATCGAAATGAACATCTAATATGAGCATCTGAAATCACATGGACTTAATCTAAAGAAACAAAAGCACAAATGCAGCAAGCATTGCATTTTATGGACATAAATTATTTTAAGCAAATAATAAAAGTGTCATAGGCATATAATCGATGAAACAACATGGCTAGTGAACTGAAAGGTGCAAAATCTTTAAATTTTACCTTCCTGATCACCATAATCTATAGAGAATATCATCGGAATAGGCTAGCAAATATAATAAATTTTGATTCTCTAGAGAGTATTTAGAAGTATTATTTGCGTTAAGTATTTAGAAGTATGCACTTTCAAAATAACATTTCAGAATTGTGCATCAAATTTCCTTCTTTTTGTATATACTTGAGAAATACATAATTAAATTCAATTAAAATCAAGTGTCTTTTGTATATACTTGAGAAATACATAATTAACCATTTCCGGTATGCACTTTCAAAATAACATTAGCATGAATTTCCATATTATTTTTGTAACATTGAATTTGATGTGAACTTTATAAAAATAAGATACATAGGTAATTCTATATGTCATAAGTGTAAATGGATACATGTACAGAGTCGCATATATATATATATATTATATATATGAGTAAAAATTTTGTCATCAAGTGTCTGAAACAGAAAATAACCTAAACTTTAAGTCTGAATAACATTAACCAAATGCCTGCAATAGACCTGGAATTTCATTTCCAGTATGCTCATTCAATTTTATAATTAGCATGAATTTCCATATTACTTCTGTAACATTGCACGAAATAACCTTCTGTAACATTGAATGAAAATTGAATGAAAATAAAATAGTTAATTTTTTCGGTAAAAATCCATGATAAGACAATCTAGGCAAAAATGATACGTAGATCCTTTTGCAAGTAAGGCCCATCCGATCTGATCCATGGGCTTGTCTATGGGAAGTTGCTAGCTACAAGAACTTAATATCAAAATCAAAAATTTTGAGGGGGCCAAGGCATCCCCAGAGCTATACATAGCTTCGTCCTTGATGATCCTAGTCCCTCTCAGCTGTGCCCCCCTCATCTTTGGGCCCCGGGCTGTAGCCCTGGTGGCCCTAGCTCAGGGCCGGCCCTGACATCTTCCAATAATATGGTGACAACTCATCTCATCTCATTATCATTTTATTTCCACCAATTTCCTCCAAAAAGCTAGGAAATCGATTTCCTTAAATGTGGGTCACATCATCCAATAATATAATGACAATTCATCTCATATTATCTATTTTCTTATTTTTATGAATGAACAAAACACAAGAAAAGAATCTATTACAGAAAATATGTTTCTTATAATTTATTTTCTTATTTTTTTAACCAACCAAACAACCTCAAAACAAATTTTCTTAAAAAATCATTCACATCATCCAAGAATAATGTGACAACTCATCTCCCATTCTTTGATTTCTTTCTTTTTTTTAACCAACTAAACAATCTCAAAACAATTTTTCTTAGAAATAGATTTCCTATTTTTTGATTTACTTCTTGTTTTAGGCAAACAAACAGCCCCTAAACGTCCGTGCTACGCGGAGCGGAAAAAAGCAAGCGTGCTCCTTGGGGTGCTATTCTCAGATCAGATAGAGGTGTTTTTTTTAGTGAGTGGTGCTGGACCACTGGGAATTTTTTTGTAGCTAGCTTGGCTAGAACAGGGGTCACTTGAAGCCCCTGTTCTTATCGTTTATCGTCGTATCGCGATACGTACCGGATTTCGATTTATCGCATCCCGCGCGTGTCGTAACTTCTCGAGGACGAGCAGAGGAAAAAGCGACGACAGCTAAAGCGTTGCTATACATATAAAATCAGAGAGAGAGAGAGAGAGAGGACGGGCTCCGCAATCCCTTCCATTTTCCATGCTCCTCTCTTTCTCTCTCCTCCTCCGAAGAGAGAGAAAATAAAAACACCAACATCCCCTCTCTCTCTCTCCTCACTTTCTCTCTCCTCCCCCCACCCCCCCCCCCC